CTATTGATATATACAGGCATACAATACATAGTGACAATTTCTCATTATAAACATTATTATATAATACTATATATACATGTATACATGTATCTATATAAAATCATGAACATTACTTCATAATAATACTTATAAGAGCCTGAATCACTATACATTCATAACTAAATAGAAACATTTTACAATATACAGTTACAATACATATTGAATAAACATTTCAGGTAAATATAATGCGACAATGTGTTTTTTCTCAGCACGTTTCCTTTTCCTCTGTCCCAGCTAGAGATATTAACCTAATGAACTCTAATTCTATTGATATATACAGGCATACAACACATAGTTACAATTTCTCAGTATAAACATTATATAATACTATACATGTATACATGTATCTATATAAAATCATGAACATTACTTCATAATAATACTTATAAGATCCTAAATCACTATACATTCATAACTAAATAGAAACATTTTACAATATACAGTTACAATATTGATAAATATTGAATAAACATTTCAGGTAAATATAATGTGACAATGTGTTTTTTCTCAGCACGTTTTCTTTTCCTCTGTCCCAGCTAGAGATATTAATCTAATGAACTCTAATTCTATTAATATATACAGGCACACAATACATAGTGACAATTTCTCATTATAAACATTATTATATAATACTATACATGTAAACAGGTATCTATATAAAATCATGAACATTTATGTAATTACTATACATTGATAACTGGATAAAAACATTTTACAATACGGAGTTACAATTCTTTTTCGATAAATCTTGAATAAACATTCCAGGTAAATATAAATATGTCCTGGCTTCCTTCCCCCAGAAGACGTCTTAATTACGTTAAGACATCCGTCCGTAGACGTTACAGCATTCCGTCCGCTGGCCGTGCATGACCCGCAAACCATTTTGCTTTCTTTTTGCAGCTTTCCTCGCTTAGTCCTATCCATTTATCTCCGGATATTGCATATTGTTTATATTCTGGGGCGAGCTGGTAAGAGAGAGGAGGGGGAGAGCGAGAGAGAGGGAGGGAAGGAGGGAGAAAGAGAGAAATGTTATCGTGTATTATAACATAATCCTCCCTCACACCGCTGTGTGTTTCACAGTTTGCACGCGGTATAGAGTCGTGCAAAACCAGTAGCTAGCTAGCTGCTGTCACGTGCGTGCATACCGATATTTGCCGCTACTCGCAGATTATTAAGGAGAGTAGGCGCGATGCGACCGGAACCGCGTCATAATGATGGCAGGTGACTACGTGAAGTACACGCGGGGAGAGGAACACACATAACTAGAATTTATTAACTGTCGTTTGCACTGCGGCGATTAAACTAAGAGCAGGAGAGCATCGATCGGCTCTAAATAGTTTTCTACTCAAGTTATCGTGCATTTCGGTGAGTTTTTTTATTCTTATATTGTGGCATGCAGTGTTCTTTTAATCGTTATTGATGCCTTTGGAATGGATTTCGGTGTTACTTAGTGTCTTTCGGTGTGTTTTTGGTGTGTTATGAGGTCTTTCCGCATGTTTTACCCTGCCTTTTGTGCCTTTTAGTGTTTAGATTAGCTCTATTACTAGAGCTATGTTTAGATCAGCATGATTATGATAAATTACCAAAAGGCACCAAAACGCAGAAAAATCGAAAGGTATTGAAAAACAATGAAAAATTCAAGGAAAGATACGGAGAAATCAGTAAAATAACACTAAGTTTCTAATCTACGCTAAATCGCGGTAAATCACATTAAATACGCATTATTTTATGAAAATCCCACCATAGTTTACTTATAAACACATCCACAAGAGATTCCGAACTGTGGCATCTAAACATTGGCGCCGGAATAAGTATTTGCCCTGTATTGTGTAGCCTCATTTCGTGATCGCGCGATAAGGGTGCGTACAATTTGTAATCTAAACGTGAGTCTGTTTGTAAAACAATGGCGGCAGGCGCCCAAGAAACGAAAGAAAATCGGAGGATAGCCACGTGCGTATAACATATATTCAATATAAACATACCCATTCAATCAAAACGTATGTTGGCGAATCGGACAATCATTTTGGAGTAAATTGGCGCGTGTAACTGTTCCCAATACTTTAACGCGTGCTACGCGTCCGGACCGTCGCCTAGTCCTACAAGCTACGCATCCGGAATCCACTACACAGTGATCGCGAGACTCTCTCTCAACACAACACACACACACAACACGCACACTCCCTCTCTCTCTTTCTCTCTCTCTCTCCTCTCTCTCTCCTCTCTCTGCATACACACACACACAACGCGCCCCACGCAACAGATTCTCCCTCTCTCTTTCTCTCACACACACGACACAAAGCTCTCTCTCTCAACACGCCACGTACACTCTCACTCACACACACCACACACCACACCGCGCCGTTGCTGTCTCTCTCATCTCTCTCTCTCCATCTCTCTCTCTCTCTCCTCTCTCGTCTCTCCTCTCCTCTGGTCGTCATACTCTCTCTCTCTCTACATCATCAGCTCTTCCTCTCTCTCGTCCACCACACACACACGCATAGCTCTCTCTCTAATTTTCTCGCCGTCCACACACACACATACCTCTAGCTCTATCTCGTCGTGTCTCCTCTCACGCAGTACACACACACATCACATAATCCTCGTCTCTTCCGTTCTCTATCTCTCTTGCTCTCTCTTTATCTGTTCTCCTCTCCATCGTTCTCGTCAACGCCACACACACCCACACACGACACACACACACACACACACACACACAACACATTCTTCTCTCTCTCTCTTGTCGTTACAGCACACACACGCACACACACACGAACACACACCAAACACACACTACACAGCACAGTGCCAAACACAACCACGGCCACCAGACTACACAACAAACACACACACAACCACACTCGCATCAGCAGAGCGTCCCGTTGCGCAATCAGGCGTGTGCATGCCGCATAAGAATCACTCGTGTGTGAGATGATGTCCGAACGCTAGCCCAGGCGGCGGCCTCCTCGTGGGGTCCGGCGTGGACCGGCACAGTAGCCACGGCCTAACTTTTAATACAGCCGCATCAATTATCGTCTGTTTCATGCTTATTCTTTTAAGTACTAACGGTTGTTAAGTTTTAATTTTAAATTGTTTCTGGCGAAATTAATTCTTGTAAGTGAAATAAATGTTTGAATTTGAAGATGCTGAATTGAATGAATTTTGAATTGCGATCACTGATCAGTCACTGAGAGTCCAGCACTGAGTCCGATCAAGTGAGTGAGGAGTCAACTCCGGAATTTATTGTCAAGATAGAGAGCAGGCGATATTGCAGACCTAGTCAATTTTCGTAAATGTGGGAGTAGCCCCTTTAAAAATCGCAGAGGGCGTTGTGAGATGTTTTTTTCATTTCGACCGAGAAACATAGTGATTTCACAGAATGTGGAAAGAAACTCTAGATAACAAGTAGCAGAATTAAGGGCATATATGGACCAATGATCCTGCACCATCGACCCTAGATCCATGGGATGAGACTACATGACTCATGAGTATCTAACTCTTGTATCCAGACCTCCGACAAATTTGTTGAATGTTGAGGCGTGTACACACCCTTATAATATATGCTGAGAGGGTCTATGTCCCCCAGGTACATCGAGTACGCCTGGATAATGGTCATATATCGAACTACCCTGTACTATCTAATATCCGGACCGTCCCTCGCTCATCACTAACGAGTCTAGGAGCCTCCTACGCTACTCCCAACCCTCACCCAGGTCTACCCAGAATAAATTCAAACAGGGAGAGGGGAGGGGCAGGGGGGACCGGGGGGCGTTCTTTTTACCGACCACTAATTAATGCGTAAAATA